AATTGTTATCAATTTTTAAAAAATAATAGTAAGAAAATTTTAATTTTTTAATTTTTTTTTTATACAATTTTTTAATATTAATAATTTTATCAATTTAAGGTAAAATTAAATCAAAATATAGCAATTTTAAAGCTTTAATTTTAAACTATTAATAAAAAAAATTTTTTTTAATTCCAATTATTAGTTATTAAAAAATTTAAATTTTTAATTTCAAGTATATATAGTATATAAATCAAAATATAAGGTAAAACCCAAAGTATAAGTAATAGCTATATGTGGCTTTGGGTTCAGCTATTTTTCTTTCATGTAAGTTCACCTTATATTTATTTTGTATTTTTATTATTTTATTTAATACAATTTTAATTAAAAAAATAATAAAAAATAAAGAATATAAAATTTTTAAAATTATAATTTTAGATTATAATTTAAAGGTTATAATTTTGAATTATTATTTTTGGGGATATAATTTTGAACCCTAAAAATTTTTGGTTCACTTTCAAAAATAATTATCCATATTAATGTTTTGATTAAAAATTTCATCAAAAAAGAAACAATCAAAAGATAAGCATAAAAAGAGCTTTAATAAATATTAAAAAATATCTTATTCAAAATAATTTATCCTTGATTAATTTTTTAAATTTCTTAGAACCTTATTATTTATTATTTGAGAATAATGCAAATTTATTAAATGTTGAAGAATAAAATTATAATTATAATAAAATTAATGAGTTTTATAATATATTAAAAATTAATTTTTGATTATTATTTATTTTATAAAAATATTACAAAAGCAATTAATAAAGAAATTTAGTAAAATATTTATTATTAATAAATTTGATAAATTGAAAAATTATTTCTTTATAATATAATTTTTGCTTATATAAAATTATTAAGTACAGTAGTTTGAATGAAATTATATTAGCTTTGATATTTTTAAAAATTGTTAAATTATTTATAATAATAAAAAAACTATCTATTTAAGGTTTAAAATTCTATTAAATATAATTGAAATATTATTTTTTCTATTGAAGAAAGTTATAAATTAACTAATTTACTAAATATTATTAAGGTTATTATATGGGATAAAACATAATAATATATAGATATTCTTTTGAAACAATTGTTTAACTTTCAGAGATTTATAATAATTAATTTTTTAAAATTTGTTTTGAGAGGTAATATAAAGATTTTCTCAATTATTGATAAATAATCTGCATTATAGTAGATAAAATATTTCTTAAATTAATATTATTTATATCAAATTTAACTATATTAACTATATTGATATTTTAAAGATCCAATAAATTTTCTATCAAAATTTGCATTCTTAAACTTCAAAAAGTTAAAATTTAGTCTTACTAGATCAAACCATTATACTTTAGTCTTCTATAATTCAATTTCTATATAGTTTTATAAACTTTAATTAGACTTTTTTATGTTTTCTTAATAAAGGTTTCTTGTATTTTGTATATGCTTTAAATCCATATTTCTTAAAAATCTATTAAACTATATAAACTTTAATGTTTATTTTTTTAAAAATTTTAGTAATATACTGTATATATACTGTATATACTCTATTGTTTCCTTGGTCAAAAATCTGATTATGTTTTTGTATTCTTAATATAGATATCCTTTTTTTATCAATTATTTATTTATAGATATTTTGAATTTTTCTTTTATAACTATTTTAATTATAATAATATTTAGATGAGGGTCCAGGAGTAGATTTATTTCCTAATTTGATTATTTTAAAATATTTTTTTAAGTCTAGATATGCTATACTAATAATATTGTCACCAATTTTGGTAGCAATCTGGTGTAAACTATAACCTTCTTTAGCAAGGTAATAAACTTTACCCTTTATTCTATAGATAACTATTTTAAGATAATATATAAAAACTAGAAGAGATCTAGATAAAAAAGGACAGTGGTTTATACAAAAATTTTAAAAAATTCTTACATTTTTATAATTTTTTAAAAAAACCAAAAATTCCGCAACTGTAAATTTTCACCATTGTATACACCGATTATACACAATAAATTTCACGTGATCTGATCTGAGCTGTTTAAGATTCGGGTATTGCGTTCTTTCTGATGAACGCTATAATATATGCCCTTACCAATATGACACCGATAATTTTTCAATTTTGAGGAATACCGATAACCCAACTTAGGAGAAGAATATTTTTGTGGTTCTTTCTCGTGTTTTTTAACATCATTTTGATATTGTCTGATCACCGTGTTATATATAAAAAACACACTATGATGAGCCCCAGTTATTATTGGACTAAAATATGTGAATAAAAGCAATTGCCTATCTTTACTTTACATTGACTGCCAATACAATTCTGGAAATACTACATGCCCACCTTCGAATGTTCCAAGAGGGCAGACAACGAATAGCGTATTGCGGTAATCATTTGGATCCTGATGTAACTGGAAAATAGAGTTAGAGTTAATACCGACTGTTGGGAAGGCCCCAACATTTAGGAATGTTGGAACTTAGATTAAGTTTTTTCATTTTGTATATAGCGCTGGATAGGTGGCATTAATATAATTATTAATCACATCCGGTAATGGTTGAAGTCCTTGTATTAATTCTTTAACACATCTCTGCCATTCCTGAGAATTATTAAAGCAGTGCTTACCATAACGTAAGGCTCGTTTTTGCTATCAGTTAGGCAGCCAATTTGTTCTGCTTGATTATTGATAAACTGTTTTGTTTTGGTGAGTGGGTACGTACGAATATGATTGTAATATTTATCCACTGCAGATTACGCAACTCTCGCAGGTGAGATCAAAGTCAACTATAGTTTCACTAAAAACGTTTTTAATACACCATGGTTTTAAAATATATTTTATGGTCATCGAGGTGAACGTTATTTATGATTTTTTATCGTTTCATCTGCGATCACACAAGTTTATCCTTTGGGTGCCGTCGGAATATTCTGAAATTTCATAATCTTCTTGAAGTTTTTTATTTTCTGAAAGTACGCGTGCCTTATTTTATTCCACAGACGTCGACAATGATACCAAAAAAATTTTTTTAAAAAATAAGAAACCTTATTGAAATGTGCCCACTGCCAAAATTCATTCCATATTTCTTGAGATGTCAATCTGAGAAATCGGCTTTACAAAATATTTTCGCCTCTAATAACTCAAATATTTAGCTTGACATCGAAGAAATGTTATTATCTCCGGAGGTACAGCCAATAGGAACTTGATTATTAGCAATTCGTCTTTTTTATCTTTTTCTAAGAACTTTTCGATAATGGATTAAGTATTATGGAAGGCTGGGATAAATTTGTTGATTTAAGATTCTCAGTATTGTGTTCGGATATAATGAATGGTATCTTTTTTCGTAGATTTTTGTGTCTCTTTGTGTTTCGTGCTAAAAAAATTAAGGGATTTAATGAGAATATCAAATCAAGATTGCTGTATCTATATCTATGGATTCTGAGGTGGATTACTTCTCATCTAATAGCTTGTTAGTATAAACTACGGGGATTTTATCGAATCTTCCTCCTCTCCTCTCTAAAAGATAATGATAATTTCGCAATCACTTCCTCAATTATAAATAAACCTTGCAAGGGAGGATGAAATCGGCCCCTAGACCTGTTTTAAAGATGATGATTACCAAGCTCCACTTAATATAGCGAAATTATCTTTCTCTACCATTCCCAAGTAATATTAATTTAACCTAACTTTTCTGGATTGTAGAATATCTCAGCTTTTTCGTGTTTTTTTTTATTATTATTTGGATTTTCATGAATATTGAGATTTACGGTTAACTTCTTTCGCCGATTTCGCTTAACAAACTTTGTAATTGCTATGTTAGTGTAGTTTTTAGCAATTGCTTAATTACCAATAAACGATAAATCAAACTTTTATTATTATTTTTACATGGAATAAAAAATGTGTGCTAAAGAGTTTTAAATTATAGTTTTTGATTTCTATTTTACCTGATGAACTTATCATCAAAAATGATAATAAAAATAATGTAACCAGATGTCATAATTACTATGGATCATCGTCTGTTTACACTATTTAGGCCGTAATAATAACTTTTTCCAAAACTGCTGTTGATCGTATGTGCAAAAAGTATAAACCGAAAACATGCTTTTCACTTTATTCTGCCTCGTCAAAGGAAATGCGATTGCGAACGTTTTTCCTATCCACATAGATGGAAATAGTTTTGTTGGAGACCTCAAGGATGCTATAAAGGCAAAGAATGCGTCGACTTTGCCCAAGTTGACGCCAGTAAACTAAGGCTATGGAGGGTAAACATCCCTAACGATCGCAACGACCTTATTGAGGGGCAACATTTACAAGACGAAGATCAGTTAAA